TGAAATTGAGATGATAATATTGATACACACAACTCTACATGACAATGGTACTGGTATGCACAGCCCTCCTCAAACTGACAAGTCAGTCGATAAAAGTTCACACACAAAAGCAAATAGACTGTTCACACTGACACTAAATTACTAACAATTAAACAATGTTGTATGCTGCACACTACCAATTTTTAATTATCTGTTAAAAATGTATGCTGAAAATATGCAAAGTGCTTTTATAAATGTTTTCCTTCCTGTATAATAGAACAAACACTTCATAAATCATAGAGATAAAATTAACCACAAAACAATAGCTTCTTTGCCTGCCAACACATGAGACAAATTAATTTAATAAATCCTAGTATTACTTAAAATGGAATCCTATTGTAAGGGAAATTAGTGAAAATGCATAATAAAATTTGATTTTCCTGCCACATATAAATATAGCATTTACAAATTTAATACTTTATAAAATCAAACCAACTGTGTGAAACTTGTTCTCAATATAACAACCACTACAGCTGAACCTGCAAGTTGTAACCTCACTGTCCAAACACCAGTACATCAGTTGGGGCAATCTGAACATTCAATGTCTGCTAGAAGTGAAAGGTAAAGGGATCATACGGTAGCAAATAAGGAAGCATAAAATATCCAAACAAAAAGACTATTTCCCAGCAACAGTACTTGTAGCTTGGTGTCTTAGTTCCAACATTGGTAATGTCTTTGGTTTACACAGTAAATGCACCTTTTTCCCTTTTAACCGCAAGGTAGTGACGCGGGGGAAATGTACAGTTTAGTCCAGGCTATTGCATATACAAATTAACAATCAACATGTGACCATCAAGTTTCTTGCGTTAAGACAGACACAGACAGAACAAGTACAAGGCAGGTCAGGCAACATCACAGCTAACAGAATTTCTATTCCACTGCAAAATATAGAGGGGTTATGAACTTTGAAAAGCTTACCAGTTCCTTCAAAGTTTGTACAAATATTTCGACATTCCATGAGGTAGGATGGCTGGCATCTGTAGTTCCCTTCTCTTTTGATCCAGACTCACCACTACTCCAAAAGCTAGCTGGAGTCTGGATATTCTGTAGAGCAACTTGTTCTTCAAGGCCCGTGTGGGAGCGAACCATCATGCTTAGTACACGGGCCACTGCTGGTGGCGTAATTTCTCGTGCGCCAAGATTCACAAGGTTATTACGACACTCTTCAACTGAAGAGCAGAACCCATATCCCATCTCCATGATCAGTTCTGCTAATGAACCATCCAACTGGAAATATACCAGTACCACAATAAGCACATATGTATCATACAAAATGAGAGACCAATAGTGAGGAAATATACAAGATCGGTGGAGGACGTGGCTAGTCTAGTTTATTTGTAGTTTATTTAATGACTCTTTTTCAGTACCTCAGACTATATAGTGGAATGGAAGGGCTGCAGAAGGAAGCGGTCATAGCCTAATTTAAGGTACTATCCAAATATTTACCTGAAAGGACCGAGGAAAACCACAACAAACCCCAGTCAGGATAGATGGCCTCTGGGCTAAGATTTGAAACCAGTAACTCCCAAATAAAAAGCAGAAGTGTTCGGCAACACATATCTTGGCATGCGCTCATAATAACATTCTGTTATTTTGAATGGAGGCACACAGATGAATGAGTTCATTTGGTTGAACAATGCATGGAGAGGTGAAGTATGTCAGTTTGTTGACTGACTTTATGTACAGCAAATCATCTGGCAATGATTATACTGTCACAGATGATTTTATTCTACTGCAAGGTGAAAGAGTCCCCTACCAAATTACTTATTCCCCTCATCCTGATAATGAATACAGTAAGATCCTTAGAAGTGTTGTTCTGTATCTACCACACTACATAGTGTGATACCCCAGAAGACAGCCATTCTCACACTTATCATGAGGACTTGGAAGTCTCATAATCATTATTCAAAAGTATTTGACTTCCAAGACATTTCCAAATTAATAACTTGCCATCACACTGATATAACCTTCGATTTTGATACTGTGATCTTTCATAAGCTATCTTTGTTCACATTTATTTTTTTATAAATTTTGTTACTGTCTTATAAAAGTATTTATGTAATATTCTTTCTGGTATTCTTTTTTTGCATAATATTACATCAGAATACAAGAAACAGATCTGGCCCATTCAGTTTAAAATGAGTTAAAAATTAAACAAGCCTCCATTTCCTTTCATTCTTCCTGTAGTTTATCATATTATTTTTAAATATACATGCTAGAAACCTGTTGTTGAAGACTATAAACCACCTACTGACAGGGTGCATGAAATGTGAAGTTCCAATTACCATTCTTCAAAACCAATAAAGTAATGGATAGTAGATAAATGAAGGCTGTGATACATTTCTGACCTGAAAACATGTCACACAATTGAACTTATAAAACGACACTTAACATCAAACACAGAAAGGGTTTCCCCAAAACGTAAACATACCATTGTGTTAGTCATGGTTGAACTATCTTGATTAATTTTATCCATAGGCAGATCTCCTTTACTTCGATATAACAATGGTGCTAACACAACAGGTACAAGTTCTCGAGGGAAATCACGACAAAGACTTTTTAAGAAAGTTTCTTTCGTTTCAGCCGCTATGCCTGGAAAAAAAAAAAAAAGAAAAGAAAAAAAGCTGCAGTCATTTTATATATATTTAAATATGAGATGATAACATTCTATTTTTAAGCAAATATTGAGGTCTATTACCAAATTGATCCCTTGGCCCGTAAAGAAGGTTTGTCAGTATCAAATGTAAAACTTCAGGAGTTGCGTCGTGGAGGCCTCCTT